GAAATGTCAAGATTGGGGTACTTCCTGAGTAAGATATTATATCTTTTCCATGCCTTTGGATAGCTCTCGAGGTCTTTCTGCTTAAAAGTGAGGATTTCATTCTGGATTTGATACTCGAGTTGGCGGGAAAAACTTCATGGTAAATTTTTGAATCATGCATTCTACAATACAATGCTCCAAGGAGGTTATGACATCATCCATATTTCGCGCCCTCCTTCAAAGTGTGAGGAAATAGACGCATTCGAAATGCATCCCTTAATATCCCCTCATGGCTAATTACGTCACACAGCATGATAACAACTTGAATGTGTAGATGTGAATTTTTCGTTTATAACATCTTGTTGGATGTGGAAGTTAGCTTATCCAAATGGCAGAGAGATGATCAAAGGCTGAATTGGTGCTGGCAGAGGATTCACATAATTCCCAACCAATGTAGGTTGAGTCGGAGGTGGTTGTTGAATTGAAAGTGCTGCATTCTACAGTACATCCTGAATCTAAATTTGATTCTCAATCATTACCCTCACTTGTCTCTGCTCTTTTCTTTGCTGTCTGAAAGTTCTTTCAATTTCGGGATTTATCAGAGAGGCTCAATCTCATCAGAATTTCGCATAAATTGTGATTTTCTGAAAAGAGTAAAACGAGAAACTTAGATTGTTCAATAAATAACCCAAAACAAAGAAAGAGAAGAAAAAACAAAGAAAAAAACTTCAAATCTAAAGAAAAAAATTAGTAAACTCAAATTAAATAAATTGTTCCCTGAAATGACGCCAAAAACTTGTTCGTGCAAAACTCACAAGCATACATAATCGTCGACAAGTAATATATTTGATGAGTTGAGAGTATCATCCCATTAGTAATAAAATTTAATAAAGTGTACTAGTGTTGAATTTGATTAAAAGTAAACAAACAAAAGTGATTTGTGATTTTTAATTAATCTAACTTAATCTACAAAAACTTGTAAAATGAGAATTTAATGTGTATGGGATGATTGTATTGGATTACGAATCCATCTATCATTATCTATTCAAATTCACAATTTTGTAGCTAGTTTCGTTCTTGTATTCTTAATAATTGATAATTCTATTGTAATTAATTTTCTTTTTCAAGACAAATTAAATTTATCCTATTCACGATCCGAATTTATTCCTAATCCAAATTTGAATTAATAGAACGCATTCAATTTCACAATTATCTCAAATATTGCACACATGATAAACGTTGTTTCTAAAATTTATTGCACGTGTGTTAATCAAGCAATGTTCTAGATTTATTGTGGGTCTCCCAGCACTATAACAAACAATCATATGTTCGATTGGTGATCAAGGAATCAAATAATAAAATTAGGCAAGCAAGATTAATCAATAATTGCAAGAATTTAACTAAGCTACTTTTCTTGAATTAAAAATAAATAATAAACGAGTTCATCTTCATCCAATACACGAGAAGAATTAGCCTACCATAATTTCAAAATTAAACGCATAAGAATGGGAAGATATCATCAATAATCAGCGGAACTCCAAGCAAAATGTTTAACTCCCAAAAAAGGATCTCCAATTAGCAGCCACCCAATTGTGTCTGTATTTTCCCAATTCCAGCTACCCTTGAATGTTTTATATCCGCCGTTTTTTCCTCCAAAGCAGCTGCCCAATTGACTCAGAAAGCAACTTAAATTCTCCACTCTCTTCCTTTAGGCGCAAACTACTGTATATCTATATAGATAATTAAACTGGCAGCCCTTTTCCTTGTGTGGATTTTTGTGTATATATTCTTTTTTTTTTTTCTCCCCAATATATTTTTTTTTTTTTTTTTTTTTTTTTTTTTTATCTAGAAAACAATAGCCAATAGATCGTAAGATGTCTATTTTAGCTAATGATTCAACCAACGGTATGGCCCCATCATATAAAAGTTCTAAAATCCATTGAGAAATATCTCAAAAGACTTCAGCTTTTTTCAAAAAGTCGATTTGACACTTTATTCTCTTTCATTTGGGCGTTCTCTACTTCCACTTCAAGTGTAAGTAGTGTAATATCATGCAATTCAAGAGTAAATTATTTGAAAGCTCCTCCTTGGAGCCAATCCTTTGTTTGCTAGTCACACGTGCGCGATAATATTTTTTTTTTTTTTGATAACCCAGGAACCCGCAGCCGCTACTAGCGACCAGTGCGCACTAGGTAAACCTGGGGGCTGGCACGAGACCCGCAATCGATTTCTTTCTCTCCCAGGCAGCCATCTTTTATGTATATAAATTCCTCTTCTTGGCTTCATTTTCAATGTATCTGAATTCCCCTCTTTTATTTAACCTCAAGCCACCAATTTGTATTATTTCATGAAGAGTCCCATTCCAAACACAATTTCCATATTCTAGCCGCCAAGTATATTGTCTTTAAATTAGGAATTCAATTGTTATTGAATTTCCTTCCAATAATAATTCTATGGGTCCGTTTGATTGTAAAGATGAAATTGAATTGAAAACGAATTTTAGAGAATTAAATTGCCTAAAAATTGTTTTCCTGAGAATTGTAAATTATCCTGTTTGATAGGTATAATTTTTCACGTGGAAAATATTGAAATAAAAGTATTTTTGATGTTTGTTTGACTTTGTTTTATATAAAAATTGTCAACTAAAGGTATATATTTTACTGGTATTGGAGATGAAATTTATTTTCATTGCAAAAAAAAAAAAATCAAGAAAATCATCTATCTTTTGGGTGCGTTTGGCTTTATTTTATTGAAAATTGTCAATTAAAGGGAAATATTTTTTTACAATAATTCTTAGAATTTGTTTCTATTGCGAAAAAGAAAAAAAAAAGTTGGAATTCGAAAAACCACCATACCAATGGAAATTCATTTTCCCCCAAAAGCAAGAAAATATGCACGTGTGGGAGCACAAGCAAGAAGAGGAATTGCCTACAAAATTAGTCTATCAAACACCCAAAAATGTTGAAGTTGGAAAATGATTTCCATTTTCCATGGAAAAGAATTCCTATCAAACATGGCCTAAGTTGATTCCATTAATGCCATATTTTTCTTTTTTCTTGAAGGCCTCAATCTTTCAAAATAATAAAATCTAGTCCTTGAATCCGTTTATTTGTGCAATCCATGTCTTCTTTAATTTAATTCAAGTCCTTGAATTTTCAAGGTATAGAATTTGATCTCCAAACTGTCTATCCAATAGCTAATTTATCATTCTTTCCTTTTCAATTGTTTCAAAATGGGTTAAACACTGAAACAAATAAAAATTAACCCAAATTAAGTAATATTCAATAATTTGACGACATAAAAATTTAATAATATTACTTAAATAATTAGGATAAACATAAACTATTTTTTTTTATTTAATTAGGATTTTTGATTAAACTAAAACTGAAATAAATTTTATTTAGTTAAATTGAAATCCAATTTAAGTAAGAAACTTATTCTTATCAAATTCTTATCTAATTTGTGGTGGTACATGTCTGTTATACTTCAATTGAATAACAACTCACCCTTAAATATTTTTCCACTAGAAAAACTGGAAATACTGCATGTCGTTCCAGTATATCACTGTAAAAGAAAAGAAAGAGCCAAGACAAAGAGAGAATGAAGCATAGAAAAATAGTTTTTATGTGTATTATTTTACAATCTTTCAATAACCAATGTAAGATATTTATGTGCAAATAGTTTGTTTCTATCTACCTTTATGTATTTATTAATTTATACATGAATTGTCAATTGACCTTCAAGTTTGACTTAACGAAATGTGAATTCTATTTGGTTCATTATAACGAAATGTGAAATATTTCGAGGTCAAAATATTATTGTTGGATATTTCGCTTGGTCATCGATATACTCCATAAGAACGTGGTATGAAGTGTATTTTATTTTTTTATAATTATCTATAAAAGCTACATATATCTTATTAAGTATTTTAAATACTCACCATTACAATAATTTTATAGGTTAATTCGAGTCGATTTGGATTTGTAGTAAGATGGTGATGCGGGCTGTCAAGTGGATTGAAGAAAAATATAAATATTAAGTTTCTTGTCTTTCAAATTTATTTATTAATTTAAAGACATGTTATTTAATAAGTTAGGTAATTATGTTATTTTTTAAAAATACAATTTTCATATTTAGTTTAAATTTATGGATATTTTAGTTATTTTACTTTAAAGAAATAAACTTTTTTATTGTTCTGCATTTAACGGTAAAAAAAAAAAAAAAAGTTCTTGATAACATTCCACGATTTATAAAAAAATTAGGGTGTTACATAATTTCCTCAGCGATGAAAAATCTTCCTTTATGTGCAAAATGTAAAAGGTTGATGCAATAAATGAATGAGTTTTTATCAATTTTCCTTTTTGCGTAATACATCACTTCTCAGCCCTTGGAGCAAAAGCTTGCGGTGAGAGGCTTACTGTGGCAATTTTTGGTTGTTTGTTCTGTCAAAGCTCGATCATTTAACTTGTCATTAACGGTCATCCGGTGCATATTTGGCTAAGCTCAATAGTTTTGTTGAAGGCACTTAAAGCTCTATTGTCTATATATATATATATATATATATATATATATATATAGTCCTCCGGGGCATAGTCAAGTGGTGCAAAGGACATGAGTGATGTTATCTCATGTTTTACTGGCAGTCGCAGTGTGGTGGTTTGATTCCTGAAACATGGAATTGGACTCCTTGTAGGCGCAGTGTATAGACAGCTCTTGTTCCCTGACTTGTTGGGGCACATCCCGCGATTTATCTCCCTCACAAAGCTCTAGGGCCGAGACCGTGGGGACCCTCAAGGTTGAAGTTCAACCTTTTTTATATACACACACACACACACACACACACAAATTAAGAAAATATTTTACTTTTTTCAGATTTTCTGAAAGTACGTCTAACTATTTTAGTTGATTTATCAAAATGAAAATGAATTCGCAAAATGTCCTCGTCTCTGGCTGGTGGACGGAACCTTCCATTGAAAACTGCACACTCATTTTGACCACACACCAAATCTGAAGTCAACACACGCGGCACTGAAACGACATCGTTATTTTCATAAAGAGGCCCGCGAACGACTGCATTAACTCTTTCGTTAATTATATACTATAATAAGAAGGAAGAGAGAAAAAAGGGAAACTGTAATTTGAATTAAATCTTTGATTCACCATTTTAATTTATTATTCATTTATCTCCCTCATCGAGACTTTAATTTGATTTGGTATCCGTATTTCGCTCGAGTTCATTATTTCTATAAGCTGAGTTAGTATTTTGGGTTTTTCCCCCCGTAATTTTCTTATTTTTTGTTGTAAAATTCAAAATTGCAAAATATATTTTTGGTGCTACCTTGTATCTTTAAATTCAAAACCTGTACTTTCTTGGGAAATGGCTTCGAATTTTGATAGATGGGAAAAAGATCCCTTTTTTTCCGCTGCAGAAGAGGTTCAAGAATCTGCCGACCGGTAATGAGAATAATTTGTTATGTTTATTGTTACGGAAATATAATATGCGTTCAGCATCATTTCTTGAATTCCGATGTGGTAATGTGCGATTTTGTATGTGGGTACTGTAGTATGACGATAAAAATTGAGATTCTGCAACTTTTTTTTTTTTTTTCCAAAAGGATGGAATCTACTTACAGAACATGGATTCGTGCAAAGAAGGATAGTTCTGCTGTTTGGAATTCCAATGACCTTCATAGAGGTCTTCAAACTACGCTCGCTACTGCGAAGTGGCAGGTCAGTTATCTGTATATATGTATTCATAATTACAAACGCAAGTGTATATATGCACACACACATCCATACCCTCCAAGCATATATGGGTATTACGTATTCATTCTTTTGTTTACATGGATGTGTTCTGAGTACAGTTGCTGATGACGGTATTAATGTTTATAGTTAATCCAAGATCCGAGGGTGGAAATTCTGTTTATAGCATTATTTTAGTGTCTTGATGATTGGCATGCTTAATTAATGCAGTTGGAGGAATTTGAGCGGGCAGTGAATTTGAGTTATAGTAGTAGTATTTCAGCTGATGATGCAAAAGATAGGCACCGGGACTTCATTCATGCTATTGAGAGTCGGATTTCAGAGGTTGAAAGCTCTCTAAATGAATCTACAGTCTCACAGGGCAAGGTACCTGTGCCTTTGGTTCAATTAAATGAAGGAGAACGCAATGAGCTCGCCTTATTTCTTTGTGGACCACCACAATCTTCCACGGATAAAATTATGGCCAATGTTCATAGTATGGACCAGGGAATGGAGTACTCGGAAGAGTCTTGTAAACAGTCAATGCCTGAGTGTTTGAGGAATTCAGCTAATTTGATGGAGTGGGGTCGAGTGGAGGCTAAGGAGGAGAAGTTGCCAGGGCATCGGAGGACAGCTAGTGCCAGTGCTGACATTGGCTCCTGGAATATTGCAGTGTCTGATGGCGCTTTACTCCATAGTTCCTCTAGTGAACTACCTGGTCCCCCACCTAGAAAGATACCTAGCTTTTCAGGGTTGTTAAATACGATGGAATCATCTGTGTCAAAGTTGAAGTGCTTTAAGAATGGTTACAGGAAGTTAAACCTTACCGATCACCACCAAGAAGCTGATAATGCATTACCTCAAACTCAAAACCTGACCAGAGTGAGTATTTGATTTTCCATAAAAACTTCCAAATTTAGTCTTCATTTTTAACTATAAATTGTTTGGTTACAATATGCCGATCTTTATAAAATCTGCATTCTTTTACACAGGGCATCAATGTATGTTATGAGAAGAGTAAAAGCTGCCTTGATGGTTATGATGATTATTATGACAAGCAACTATATGGTTGGTATGGAGCCATCCAGAGACAGGTCCAGAGGTCTCAATATCAAATGCAATATAGTCGACCTGTTCAAGTTGCCTTGTCCACTATTCTCCTTCTTTGCTTGATTGGTGAGCCTCATAATTGATGTTTTCTTTTCTGCTTCTATAGATATTTATCATTTCTACGATTTCTCAAGGAATAAATTCTGAATTGAGCCAAGTTTGTGGTCTGGTGATGGTTGCCACTTTTCTTGCTATTGATTTCAAAGGACCCCAGCAGTTGATCACCAATATATATAAATATATATTTTTTACGGTCTGGGATCCCCTCTTCATAAATTTGACCACTTTTTGTTGCAACAAGAATGGATATTGTTGTTATGTCATGTGTGGTCTTATATTTATGTCATTGAATTATAAGCTGGACTTCTTGAGAATTTTCTGGTACATGCCTGTGACATATCCGCTTGATGATGAATCTTGCAGATGCTCAAGCTTTACATGTCTGTTGATGGACTTGTTCGTACTCTAATTTCACTGCTACTACAGCATTATTTATATTTTGATTTACAATGTAGCTATATTTGTATTTTTTTCCTGGTTGTCTGTAGCTTTTCTTGACGGAGGAGGTCTCTGTGGCTTATCCATGGAGAAGTATTGAAATATGCATAAAAATAAAAAATGAATCTGTATTTCTGGTTTATTTTCGTGCTTGCAAAACCCTACATTTGGTTCACAACTGGTCTGGAAACTTTATGTTGTAGACATTTAAATAACTATGTCTAATGGCTAGCAAATAGCTATGCAGTTCCATGTGGCTTAGTATTATGACCATTTTTCTTTTGTTGCCTGAATTTGTCAAGAGATATTGAGGTGTAGTGTTTAAGCATTGTGCGTGCCCAACCATTTTACATATCATGAGCTAGGGTGTAAATATTGTTAAAATTTTAGAAAATTGTGGAAAGTGAAGTGAAATATAAAATTTAAATTTCTGCAAAATCTGCAACTGACACCATCTACAACATGACAGTTTATATAATAATAGCTGTCTTAACAACAATGAGCAGGAACAATTTCAAATTTTCTTTAGTGTTAGACTAGCAACTGATAATAAAATATTCTTTTAAGTGGGAAGCTAAAATAATTGATGTACTTGAAGTAGCATAAGACTTGTTTTCTATCAAAGATAAGGACAGTAAATAATCTTTTTTAATCTTGAACATAATATTCACAGTAACATATTTCATACAAAAAGAAGTAAAAAGAAAGGAAGTAGAAAATTTAGCTGAGAGATGCTTGGAACCCTTAGATATGGGCAAGGAAAGTATACCCTAGTTAATGGTGTTGCATGTGACCGAGGTATGCGTGTAGATTTGTATCTCCCTGAAAAGGAGGTGATCCAGCCGCACCTTCCAGTACAGCTACCTTGTTATGACTTCACTCCAGTCACTAGCCCTGCCTTCGACATCCCGCTATCTTGGAAGAAAAGATATAATGGAAAAAGAAGAATTTTCATATGATGTTCTTCTAGGTTTTTGCCTGGAAACTTGTGGGCAAACTCCAATGCATTTATCTTGTATGCCTTGGGGCACTTTGGACTCAGCATTCCCAAGGACGTTGCCCAAAAGAGCCTTTCAAGAGACTAACAGTTTCCCATTGTTAATAGGGATCACATGGTTGTTGTAAGTGCATGGAAAACACACTGAGGGATGCTTCTCTATAATCTAAGTGAAATGTCACTTTGAGAATTAGGACTGCTTTGAAGCACATGGGATGACTATCTGTCACGGGCCTAATTTCGTCACTCTCGAATTATGCTTGCACCTTGCAGCCTTATCGCTTCACAACTCCCGTTCCTATGAGATATTGTTAAGTCAGCTTTAAACCCCACAATAATTTAACTAATGAGGTTAAATTATGTCTTTGAGCAGAGAAGGTGGATAGGATATTATGGGAAAAAGAGAACACGCATAAATATGAGAAAACTTCTTTGTATAAATGTAAGAGAATTATTTATAAACTCTAAAATATTTTCTAACCTTACTTTACTCCCATTCCATCCATGAGAATTTTCTCTCAACTCCTCATTCTTAGGATTTTACAAATGACTAAGCACCTCTATTTATATGCAAACTCTTGCTAGGCAAGTTGGTGTCAATGGTTAGGATTAATCATGATTCTACGGTCTTGATTGGTTGCAAGTTGTCATCCACCTCCTTAGACCATAGGGTAGCTAAATTAGAATTTGCTACTTTGCAAGTTGCATGTTTCTACACTTGCAAGTTGTCATGCTACAAGTTGAATGTCCCTTTCCAACTTTATTCTAGTAGGCATGTCCCTTTCTATGCAAGTGGACAATAGCTACATTCATATGCAAGTGGACATGTCCTTATCATAATGGTCAAGTTGAATTTTGCTTCCTCCATCAAACTTGTAGTAGTCAATTTGGACTTGGCTTCCCTATGCAAGTTGCACAAGTTGTCACCCACTTGCGTCCAAAACCACTGGCCGTAGTCAACGGTATTTCTCTCCCTCACGATAGTGGTTTTCACCTTAGAAAAGCTTGATTTCCATCCCTACATCCCCTACCGACGTTTTCCTAGCCTGCATCCTGCCTGCATAGCCTGACTACATTTGCTGCCTATGTTCTGTCTGCACAATCCTCTTGTGTTATTGCCTGTGTCCTTACCACAGTGCCTGTGTTCTCCCATCCTGCGTCCTCTATTGTATGTAGTTCCGTCGTACCGTAGCACACTACCTGCGTTACCCGATTTCCCCAGCTGCAACTTGGATGTATCAGTTACGACCTTGGGGGACTTAAGTCACTCTCTCACCAAATTAGGCGACACCTTCATTACCATGTTCCATCGAAGGTTAGACCTAATTTGCCATAGGTCTACCTCATTTCGCCAACGTGTGCCACGACATTCCTACATCATGTCAAACCTAATGTTACTCCCTTGCCGTCCGTGACATATTTCTTCTTTTATTTTCTCTCTCTTTTCTTTTTAAAATTCAATCCAGCAAGATTTTAGAGTGTTTATTGATATTGATATTGATGAGTGGGCCGAACTCCAAGTAATGGATGTCAAGAAAGAAAAACTTACTTCCATGGAATTTTTTTTTTTGAATTGGGCCAAGTTTGTATTCTGGTAATGGTCGACAGTTTTATTTCTATTCAGTTCAAAGTGCCTCTGCTGTTGAGGGTATCTGTTTAGTATAAGAATAATGTGGTCAATTGAGTTTGACCCCCCCCTTTTTTGAATTCCAATATATGGTCTGGGACCTCTTCCTAAGTTTTACTACTTTTTGTTTCAACAAGAACGGATATTTTTTTATGTAATGTCTGATTTCTTCCAGTATTTAGGCTAGATAGTTGAAGTTGTAGACATTCAAATCACCATGGAAAGTGGCTGGCAAGTAGCTAAGCAGTTCCATGTGGTTTAGTAACTTGTACTTCTTTGCTGACATTGGCTGAATTTGTCAAGAGATACTGAGGTGCAGTGTTTTAAGATGCAAAGGTGTGCGATGAACTGTTTTACATATACTACTTCAGTATAGAAGATTGTGTAAAATAAACTGCAATAGAATAAATAATTAATACTAAATATACGAATTTGACAGCATATAATTAATATTTGTTTTACCAAAAATGAGTACGACTTAAATTTTAAGAAATTTCTGGTGGGACACTAATTATGAAGACTTGAAGTAGCATAACTAGTGTACTCTGGTCATTTGTAGTGTGTCTGATTGAGGAATCCCTACATTCGTATATATGGAAGAAAAGAAAAATGAGGGGAAAAGGATGTTTTCGTATGATGTTCTTCTAGGCAATGCCTGGAAACTTCTGGACCATATTGCAGGCATTATGTTGTAAGCTTTGAGCTACTTTGGACTCTGCACACTTGACGGTTTGACCAGAAGAGCCTTTTACGACACTGACTATGACCAACTGTATAGTAGATGACATGGTCGTTGTATGAGTAAGGAAAAGACAGTATGATGGATATTTCTCTGTAATCTAAGTGAAACTCACTTGGATAGTCAGGGCTGTTTCAAAGCACTCTGAATGTATATAGTTTTACTTCTTGCTACGGTTCTTTCGAATGTAAGGACCGCGATTTTCTTTCTCTTTTGCCTCTTCCGGGGCTTATGATCTGGCAACATGTCTTCTTTTGAATGGTGAAGTAGCTATGTCTGCCTTTGTCATGCACCTAAACTATCGAGCTTTAATAGGTTCCTTCTTCTTAAGGGTTCTCCCGACTTGCACCCAAATTCATTTGGAAATTCTCTGTAGACGATTTCTCCTTACTATGTTACAAATATAGAATTTCTGACCTTTCTTCTTATGAAAGAATACATAGAATCAAATCACTTATTTTTTATACGGTCAAAGTTGTGGTTTGGATGCAGCTATCTCAGATGTTGATGCTGCTGATATTGGACAATTTAGGTGTCAACTTACTATTATTTGTTCTATTGTAACATCATTTGCCTTATTTTCAGTTTTTCATTATCATAGATTTAGGATATTATAAGCTCAAAAGAGTAAAATCATGGTTTTAATAAGTTACCAGCCAAATAACTTCTGTAGGTATTATTAGCCTCTGGAAAATACTTTCAAATGCCAATTGATCCTTTATTTTAATAATATTGAGCATTGAATACGCTGTTGCGTTGAATTGGATGATGTTTGAGTTTATGGATTTCTAGAAAAGAAGAGTTCTATAAAAGTTAAATTAAAATTACAGAATTGGTGTCAAGATGGTACTCATTGCAATGAATCAGGGAATGGCATTGCACATGTCAATCCTGTTCATGGCCTCGAATGATAAGTTGATGATGAATCAATTTTTGCCACCAATTTTCTTGAAATTTTGGATGAAATTTTTTGACCATTTTGATAATCCAACAGACCATTACTAAATGGCATCAAAGAATTCATCAACCATGCATGCATGAGTGTACGCATGTAGGTACGTTGGTATGCACTTACGCACATGCATGCATGTCTGTCAGTCGGTATGTATGTATGTCCAATGCTTTTTGCCCTTTCTAAGCTTTGATAAACAGGAGATTAATGGCTATGAATAACCTAATTTCTAGATGCAACATTCTTTTGATATTACTGTAGTCAATGACAAGTGAGAATGCTATATAACGCCAAGTTGCAAATCTATATTTTTAATTGTCGCCTCAAGAAAAAAAAANAAAAAAAAATCAATGGAATGTTTGTCTACATCTATTCTCACTGTATATCTAGGGGACTTGAGGAAGAAAGAGGTTGGACTATAGATGTATGGAAATGGAGAAAACATACACGAGATACTTTTTACAGTTTGCTCTTTCTTTACTGGCCATTTGTCCTTTATTCTCGCCACTTTAACTATAGAGCTTAGTTAAGTTATATGTTCATGTACACGGATAACAAACTAGATCACTCTTCCCAATGCTACATTTCTTCTCCTTTAGCAGTGGAGACATTATCAACACAAGAAAACATCTTATTTTAATTTTGGATGTCCATGCATCTATGAAATTGTGAAACCTATTTATCAAACAGGATGAGTGAGAGCATAAATGATTAGCTTTTTCAGGTAAAAGGGCACAAGGCCATCAATAAAACTAGGTTTAATTTTTTATTGATTAAAATATTAGTATAGAGACTTATAGAATATTGTTTAACAGCAGGAATATGATGAAAAGTGATAACAATATTATTGCACATTTGTTCTCAGTAATGGTACTCGTTTTTTTAACTTGCTGTCTCTGGTTCATGGCTAACCTGCATAATGTCTAGTGCCATTACACCTGACTTTTAATCAGGTGCAGACTGTCAGTGATGGAGATCCTAGTGGATATTATGTCAAAGACGAGATAATATTAGGCTGTTATTTTGGGAAAAGAAATGAGGATTTATTTTGAGGAATTTCCATATATTTTATTTATACTCTTCCCTTAATAGTCAGGTTCAAGATAAGAAAGTTTTCATATTGTTAGTTTGGTAATTTTCCATTTGGAGTTTTTTAACTTCTAAGCATAAAAAGGCATTGAATTTTTATATAGGTAGACTATTGATTATTGAGATATTGAATGTCCGTTTCCAGTACTTATAGTTATACCTACTCGTCTCTTTTCTCTTTCCCCGTCTCTTCTTTTCTCTTTTGTGTTTTTATACTGTGCTGTGATCAATCTTCATAGAAATAGTCGTCGTGGTCCCTTCCATTCATGTATGAACATGAAATTG